TTTTTTTTTTTGTGTCTGTTACCACTTTTTCTCAGCTCTCACCGAATCGATTTCTTTCAATGATACGTCAAAAGATCACAAATCGTATCTAGTTGAAGAAATTATCTTCAAAAGTTGAAAAAAATTCCCTCGTTCCCCGTAAATTGGAGAAACCTCCAAAAAAAATTACAAATTTAAAAATCACTAATTTTCGAATTTTTTAAAATTTTTTTTTACTTAAAATTGCTATAACTTTTTTAAAAATAACCGAATCAATACAATTTTTTTTTATATAGATGCATGATATCATTACCTTTCATTTGGTATATTTTTTTGTTATATTTGATCCTTTAACTGTCCAAAGGGGGGGATTTAAAATGACAACATTGAACACTTTTATATATATCTTAAATTAAAGCTAATGTAATATACTTTATAATGGTAAAAAAAAATTTCGGACTTTATTTTATCTTCATGGTGAAAACAGACATTAAACTTAATAAAAAAAATACGATTTTTGTAAAAAAATTCTTTTTTATATTTTTAACTTTATAATGCTATAACTTCTCGAAAGATGTATGGATCAATATAATTCTTTTTTTTGTAGATGCATGATGTCTTTACCTATCATTTGGTATATTTTTTTTATAAATCTGACTTTTTACCTGCCTACAGGGGGGGATTCAAAATGACAACTTTTTCACAAAAAATTGACTTTTTCAACTTAAATTTTGAAAGTGTTCCGGAAAGTCTGACACTTTTATATATATCTTAAATTAAAGCTAATGTAATATACTTTATAATGTAAAAAAAAAATTTCGGACTTTATTTTGTCTTCACGGTGAAAATGGCTACCAAATGCTATTATTGTGTGAAAATTCTCAATTTTATTTTTTACATTTTTAACTTTATAATGCTATAACTTATTGAAAAGTGTATTGATCAATATAATTTTTTTATGGGAAATACTATTTTTTAATAATCCCTTTTTCATTCGACATACTTTGTCTTAATCAGGATATTAATAAGGAACTAGCAGTTTATGAAGCTTTTGGAATAATCCACCAATTTTTTAAAATTAAACACTATCTAAAGATTTGCATCGAAGCGTTTTTTTTTGATAGTGATTTTAATCATTGTCAGATATCATTATACTTGATCTAACTATGCCACGTCACTACTGTGCCGCGACCCCCCTGTGCTGGGTTTTTTTTTTGTTATATCTGATCCTTTAACTATCCACAGGATGGGATTTAAAATGACAACTTTTTTACAAAAAATTAACTTTTTCAACTTAACTTTTGAAAATGTTCCGGAAGGTCTGACACTTATATATATATCTTAAATTAAAGCTAATGTAATGTACTTTATTGTGAAAAAAAAAAATTTCGGAATTTATTTTTTTTTAAATTAAACACTATCTAAAGATTTGCATCGAAGCATTTTTTTTTATAGTGATTTTAATCACTGTCAGATATCATTATACAACTATGCAACGTCCCCACTATGTCGCGACCCCACTGTGCTAGGTTTTTTTCTTTTAATTATTATTTTATGTGTAATTATTTATAATATAAAAAATTAGAAGTGATAGAAAAAATCTACTTGCAGATTTGAAAACAACGCGAAACTTTGATTTAGAAAAGTATATTTTTGCTCCTGATGAACGTTCCTTGTAGTCCAGTGCATTTTTTTATAGTAACAAACAGTTTTTATTGAAAATTATTGTATCAAGCCCTTTAAATTTTTATACACGTAAAAGTAAAGCAAAATATAACTTCTTTATTATTTTTATAATTTCTCCGTTTAAATTACAATATTAAATATCAATTTCATACTAAATTTAATAATTATAATTAGTATTTATTCATATATTATATTTTAAAATCAAAGAACTACTAATCAGGATATAATTAAAGAAATAAGAGTTGATGTTGCTTTTGGAATAATCCACCAATTGCCTAATTAAAAAAAAAAAAAAAAAATTGGTTGGGAATTTTTTCTGCTATTCTCCAAAATTACTCCTTCGTTGACTAGAATGAATCATTAAATAGAAAATTTTATGAGAATTAAAACAATGTTAATTTTAAGATTAATATGCAGTCAGGAAATTTTATATTTACTATTTACAGTATATTTATCAGAAAAACTCATTATTTTTTTGCATTTTTATCGTAATAGAACACTTAAATAGAAATCATAATATCATTTCTAAGTATTTTTTAGTATTTAAAAAGATTCTACAATTGAAATATCCAGAACTGAATTAATTTTAATTATTTACTTTAACTAAAAAAGAAAAAAGTTATTATTTTGAATCCCTCTTGTGGGTAGGTAAAGGGTTAGATTTATAAAAAAAAACCAAATGATAGATAAAGACATGCATCTAAATAAAAAAAAATATAATTATTATTAAGTTATAACAGTTAACAAAGTTATAAGTTTTATACATTGTACTACAAAGAACTTTATCAGAAACAAAAATATACTATTCTAAATCAACTTTTCAAATGTGCAATTAGACTATTTCTATCACTTTTAAGTTTTAATATTATTAAAAAATAGTATTTACATATAAAAAAAAAAAAACCAGCACAGTGAGGCAGCGGCATAGTGGCATAGTTGGGTCCAGTATAGATGATATCTAACAGTGAATAACATCACTATCATAAAATACGGTTCGATGCAAATCTGTAGATAGTGTTTAATTTATAAAAAAAAAATTTGTTAAAATAGCATATTTTTGAATACGGTAGCCATTTGCGCATAGAAGATAGATCGTCGAGACAAATTTTTTTTTTTATTTTATAGTACATGAAATAAGCTTTAATTTGATATATGTTTAAAGGACGCAGTATTTCCGGAACATTTTCAAAAATTAAGTTGAAAAAGTTATTTTTTGTAAAAAAGTTACTATTTTAAATCCTCCCAGTGAGCAGAATAAGTGTTAGATTTTCAAAAAAAATTATATCAAATGAAAGGGAAATATCTAAGGTTTCAATACAAAAAAATATTATTTTTATTTGTTCATTTTTGAAAAAGCTATGGCAGTTTTAATTACAAAAAACATCCCGATAAAAGGTGATTTTTATCGCAAACATTACATTTTTTTTCAATTTTCGACAGCCATAGAAGAAAAGATGTCGGGACAAATTTTTTTTTTTCATTTGATAGTATATAACATTATATATATAATGTTATATATAACATTATAAATATAACATAACCTTTGATTTAATATATGTTTAAAGGACGCAGTATTTTCGGAACATTTTCAAAAATTAAGTTGAAAAAGTTAGTTTTTGTAAAAAAGTTGCTATTTTAAATCCCCCCTGTGAGCAGAATAAGTGTTAGATTTTCAAAAAAAAATGATATCAAATGAAAGAAAATTACCTAAGGTTTCAATATAAAGAAATATTATTTTGATTAGTTAATATTTGAAAAAGTTATGGCAGTTTTAAGTACAAAAAACATCGTTATAAAAGGTGATTTTTATCGCAAATATTACATTTTTTTTATAATTTCGACAGCCATTTGCACATAGAAGATAAGGTGTCGGGACAAATTTTTTTTTTTCATTTTATAGTACATAAAATAAGCTTTAATTTGATATATGTTTAAAGGACGCAGTATTTTCGGAACATTTTCAAAAATTAAGTTGAAAAAGTTAGTTTTTGTAAAAAAGTTGCAATTTTAAATCCCCCCCCATGAGCAGGCTAAGTTTAGATTTTCAAAAAANTAAAAAAGTTACTATTTTAAATCCCCCCAGTGAGCAGAATAAGTGTTAGATTTTCAAAAAAAATTATATCAAATGAAAGGGAAATATCTAAGGTTTCAATACAAAAAAATATTATTTTTATTTGTTGATTTTTGAAAAAGTTATGGAAGTTTTAAGAAAAAAAAGTGAAAAAAATGACAAAATTTATCGATTTTTAAATTTGTAATTTTTTTGGATATTTCCCCATTTTCGGGAAACGAGGGAATTTTTTTCAATTTTAAGGATAATGTCTCCAACTAGATACAATTTGTGATCTTTTGACGTATTTTTGAAAGAAATCGGTCCAGTAAGAGCTGAGAAAAAAAAACACATCATAATAAAATTAATACCTTCTCAGCTTCGCATTGAAGCTAAAATCAAAATCGATAATAATTTGAAAACAATTAATTTTAAAAATTATATAATATATAATTAAAAGTATTACTAATCTGGGTATAATTAATGAAATAAAAGTTGATGTTGCTTTTGTAATTACCCATAAATTTCTCAGAATTAAACACTATCTACAGATTTTCATCGAAGCGTTTCTTATGATAGTGATTTTAATCACTGTCAGATTTAATCTATACTGGACCCAACTATGCAACATCCCCACTATGCCGCGAATCCACTGTGCTGGGTTTTTTTTTAAGATGTCCACGTCGTAAAAAAATAACTGTTAACTGTTTAATATTAAATAGATTATATTTAATTATCTATATAGTTTTAAGTGTCATTATTCATAAAAAATTTTAGTATTTGAGAGATCTAAAAATATCGTTTTTAGTATTATAAAATAACTTATTTTAATCTATATAACCTATTAGTATATAGATATCATATATACGTCAATAATTAAGTAAATAAGTTGAATGAAGAACACGTACATTTAAATAAAAATTGATTTTTTTTCCACCAATGACTAATTTATCAAATATGCTACGGCAATGTTTATAAAAATAATACACAAAATACTATTTACAACTAGTGTATCAATTTTTTCAAATTAAATTATTAGCAAAACATCTATACATATAATATAAATTGAAAAATGAAATATTTTTTACTTTTCATGTTAATGGTGACCTTAAAAGTTAGCTTATGTCATTATGCGCAATATAAAAAGTGCTCCCATTCTCGTTATTTTCTAAATTTTTTTAATCATAATGAAAAATTTTTGTTAAAATTCGAAAAAAATAAAGAATATTTAACAATAGAAAATCTAATGAACTATGGAAAGGCACTTCAAACTCACAATAAAGTAATTATTATGTTTTTGGATGACTTGATGAACAGTTCTAAAAAGTTTTCTTTTCCTTTGATTACGGTAAATATGTACTTAAATAACGTTTCTGGTCATTTAAATATGATTGCTCAAAATGATGATGATGAAAAAAATAATGCTAATAATTTATTAGAAGGCTATAAGATGATACATTTCGCAGTTAAAGAACAACTGACAGATTACATATATAAACATTGTAAAAACATTCCATTCGTTGAAAAAACTGTTAGTTTCAATCCTCCAATTGGTAAAAACGAATATACTACTACGAATCTAATGACTATAAATAATGAATTCAAGGATAAAATATTGACCAAATTTGAGTTAACATCAGAAAGGAATTCATACGAGTGTATTCATCCAGAAAATATTTTGTTGTACGATATAATGACCCAACAGATTCTCACCAATAAAAATAATATTATAAAAATAGATAATAATCAACACATAATATTAAATCTACTTCGATTCACTCCACTTAACTTTAAATGCTCTAATGGTACTCGTTTAACTATACAAGATGTATTTGAGTATATAAAATATGATTTTAATTCCAGGGATGTTTTAATGTATATGAAATTGGTAATTGGGGCTACGTTTCGACCAATAGCTATTCTTATTCGCAACTTTTTAACTCTAATTCAAGTCGCATCTTCAGATAATTCAGATTGTGTAAAATATTGGTTAAAACCGAATTTTATTGGCATGGGTCAAAAAATAGAACAATATGTATTAACATTCATTTCTATCGGCATGTTAATTTTGAAAAAGTCATTTATGATAAATGACGTCTTATATGGATTTAATAAAGCCTTAAACAGTTATATTTATCAAACAAAGTTATCCGAAATTGATATCAAATATAATAATGAATTAATTAAATTACTTTCGAAATTCTTCATCAATAATAGATTATACTTCACAAGTGATATAGCTCTAACAAATAAAAATATAACTCAAAATAATGCTGATAAGATTAAAAATGAATTTGAAAATATCATTAAAAAAGTTGATATCTATATAAACGATTTGAATAAATGGAAAAAATCTTTGGAGTTTATTGTAAGAACTTTTAAGATTAAATCTTTTAATGTTTCAACTTTTAAGGATTTTATTAATTTTAAAGTTTTAGGTAAGTGAAATGCAGTTCTATTTCAATAGTTTTAATTATTTGTATACAATATATTCTGCTATGTATTTAACAAAAATTCTAGGATTCGTTGCATTGTCGTCGGTCTTACAATAAAGATAAATAAAGTAATCCAACAATATGATAACTAACAAAAAAAAAAAAAAGTACCATAATGGCGATGTTGCATAGTTGGACTAGTATAAATATTATCTGATAGTAATTAAAATCACTATCATAAGAAACGCATCAATGCAATTCTTTTGATAGCGCAAATAAAAGTATAAAAAATCTAATTAAGCAATATAATGTAATCTAACTATAAAGAAAAATTTTCTTTCGAAATCGCTATCATTTGGTTGACTAAAGCAAATATTTGTAATTTATGCACTTTTAAAATCGTCATTTTATTTCTTTTAGATCGCATTTGTAATACTGAATCACATTCTGAAATATACAATGTTAGTAAGAATGATAAAAATAATATTGAAATAGGATATTATGAAGATGTAAATAATGTAGAAGATGATGTTACAAATTTTAACTTAAAGGATCTAAAAGATGAATATAACAATATCGATACAATTGATTCCTTAGAATGTCATACGAATTATAAACCTCTTTATATGATCGATTATTGGCCATACAATGAGTAAAATGAAATTTGTTTGAAATTGTTATTATAATAAATACTAAACATAATCGATACTTATTTACAAAGCTTTTATTTTTTTTTCAATTTTAGCAATACAAGGTGAATATTTTAATACGATAATCACTTTGTTTGTTTTAAAACCGTAATTATATTAAATAAATTATTGTTCTTCTTTATTAGTTTCATATATTCTCATTTATACCCGATTAATTGTTTTTAGCTTCGATGCGAAGTTGAGAAGTTATTGGTTTTACTATGATGTGTTTTTTTTTTGTGTCTGTTACCACTTTTTCTCAGCTCTCACCTAAGCGATTTCTTTCATTGATACCTCAAAAGATCACAAATCGTATCTAATCGAAGACATGGACCTCAAAAATTGAATAAATTTGACTCGTTCCCCGTAAATGGGGGAAATCTCCAAAAAAATTACAAATTTAAAAAACCGCTAATTTTCAATATTTCTTCAATTTTTTTTTACTTAAATCTGTCATAACTTAAAAATGAATAAATCAATATATATATATATTTTTTATATATGTTTAATGTTTTTAATTATCATTTGGTATATTTTTTTTATAGATCTGACCCTTTACCTGCCCACAAGGAGTGATTCAAAATTACAACTTTTTCACAAAAAATTTACTTTTTCAACTTAAATTTTGAAAGTATTCTCGAAAGTCTGACACTTTTATATACATCTTAAATTAAAGCTAATGTAATATACTTTATTATGAAAAAAAAATTTCGGACTTTATTTTGTCTTCACTGTGAAAATGGCTACCGAATGCTATTTTTGTGTCAAAATTCTTAATTTTAACACGCTTATATTAGTTTCACATGTATATTTGTTGTTTGTTGTAAGTTTGTAACTCCACGCGGCACGTGTTATTATGTCGCGTATCCCGTCCTGTATGACCTTGAGACTAGACTATCGTAACGCATTCACCCCACCCCACTTACCACTCACTATCCACAATATTTTCCTGTATATTTTTATTTTTGGTTTTCGTACCCGTATACGCGTGCGTGTCATTAATTATATATATATATATATATATATAACAAATTATTATTGTAATTGAACGGCCCGCGTCGTTTCATTATACACAATGCCCCACGACTCGTGCCACCTTTATCAGCCGTCGCCCTATTATGAGTATTTGACTGACCAACACCTCGCGTTTGTCCAGTCGCAAAGTCCAGCAAGCGCCGCACGCCCGACGACATCCCGCCGCTATGATATCGTAGTCTTCTTCCTTCGTCTACGATTCTATCCGCACTCGCGCACCGTCGCTATCAACGCTGTTAACCTGTTGACGTCCGAGGAACACGCCGGACAACGCGTCATCGACGACAGCGAATGTGCCGCGATATTATGCGAAGATCAAATATTCCTACCGCCACCGCTAATTTAAATATATATATTCATATGTTAATATTCATTTATATATTCCTACAGCCGACGCCGCTGCCGCCGTATATGCCTCGTGTATAATGTTCCCCCCGCCACGCCCGCCCACAAAACACGGCTCACCTCGTGCGTGATACGTTTACGTACTTAAGTCGCTTTACATGTATATATATATTCTAATTACCATTAAAACTTATATATTAATACGCTTTATTCTCATTAATAGATATGTAGTGTATTCATTCCGATTACGGGGGATGATTTTCGTATCGTCATTTTTCGTCACTACCTCCACGTTGCGCACCTGCTGTTTTTCTTGGATGTGGTAGCCATTTTTTAGACTCCCTCACCGGAATCGAACCCTGATTTCCCGTTACCCGTTACAACCATGATATTGATATTAACTATTATCATAACATGAAAGTAAAAAGTGAAAAATAAATATAGTTTAAAAAAACTAAAAAACACGCTTTTAAAGCACATCGAACTATAAAGTTAAAAATAATTTTTTAAAAAATTTTATTGTTAAAATATTTATTTACATTTTAGCTTCGATATGAAGCATTTAGTTTCACCTGTATGTTTGTTTGTAACTCTCCACGCGCCACTTGTTATTATTCTCGCGTATACCGTCGTCTATGGCCTTGAGACTAGATTGTCGAAACGCATTCAACTCACCCCGCTCACCAAATACCGACCACAATATTTTCCTGTATAATTTTAATTTTGGATTTTGTACCCGTTCACACATGCGTGTCATCAATTATATATTTATATATATGAAAAGTGAATGTGTCAAACGTTCTATGTGCCAAAAAAATATTTGTTCAGAAAACACAAAAAACATCACAAATTAAAAATTTTCTTATAATTTTGTATAAAAATATATGTTATGCTATATTTACACTATATTAATAGCCTCGTAAATTTCTATTATTTTATTTTGTCATTTCATATTAGTATAAATTAAACATTTGCTAATGACAGTTCCAAGTGCCAAGTATTATAATATTAAAGTTCCAAGTTTCAAATAATGTGATAATATTATCGTTCCAAGTACCAATATTTTATTATAGATAACAGAAAATCATTCTTTATTTTATTAAGACTTCATATATATTTTTATAAAATATGTAAAAAAATCAACACTTTTTTTGAGTATCACAAATTGAAAAATAAATTAACAAACCTAATAATAATTTAAAAAAAAATCTAGATTAAACATAATTAGAACATAGCAACATCATAATAAATAGCAAAAAAAATGAATTCATGACGTTATATTTTTATAGAAATTTCTGTGCTTATCAGGTAAAAAAGGAATCATGGCCAACAAATCTTTTTTCTTCTCTGACGACAATGTGGGTTTCGGTATAGGTATAAATGTCTGATTTTTAAGTTGGTCTATAGTAGCATTTCTTTTAAAAACGTTAAAATCTTTCCAAAGTTCTTCATCTGAAAATGTTTTTTTATAATAGATTTTTTTGGGAGTTAAAAATGAAACTTTAATCATCGAACATTGGAAACTTGGTTAAAAAAATTGTTAGCAATGTCTTTAAATGAAAAAAAGTTGTTTTCGTCCATCGGAATAACTCGAAATGGATTTATCAACTTCGCTGCTCTAACCATTTCTTGTAAATCAGAAGGAGTGAAATTTTGAAAAACTACGTTTCTTTTCGATAATAGCGAAATCACGATCACAAGCCAAGAGAGAGTGGCCACTTATCAAAAATTTTTGTATAATCTCATCAAATATCCTCATATTTATTAAATATAACATCAAAACTACTAACGTTTTATTTTTATTTTGGCCAGCACAGTTGTCTGACCATATAATTAGTTTTTTGCGATTTATCGTATTTTCGTTTTTGTTAATAACTTGAAAAAGACAAGAAGCGATTTCTGAGCTTCCACGAGAAGCAATACTTTCATCCCACATATACATAAAGGCTGTATTGCTGTCACCGAGATGTATTCCAAAGTTATAACAACTAAGTTGACGCTTTCCTGAATTGTATTATTGCTTTTCCTGGTCGCATACGATTTTCCACTAATTCTTTTTTTACCACTTCGTAAAATATGTATACTTTCAGTATCCATAATAACACAATTAAACAAATGAAAAAGAAAACTTAACGAATACAACAACACCAGTATTAGTTATTTTGAAATATAACGGACTATATTATAATATTGTAATCGTCAAACTATTATATCCGCCCAAGGCACTTAGAACGTACATGTAACAAAGGGCATGTCTCACAGAACAAATACAATCTATGAACGCAATTTTGTACAAGTAAAAAATTTAATTGACACCTGAAACACATACAAGATTGTGACCTTTGGCTCATAAAACATTAATCAGAAATAAAACAATTTTTCAATTTTTTGGCACATAGAACGTTTGACACATTCACTCTTCAGATATTTATGTATTTTATATTCAGGTTGTAAAATACCTCTTCAAAACTTATTAGATCACACAATTAATAGAATTTTTCGAATAGAAACAATAAACAAGGTTGAAAAAAATAGAAAATCTATTGAAATGATTTCTAAATGGGGCTGTGACGGTAGTAGTGGTCAAGCCCAATATAGGCAAAATTTTAATAGTAATGTGTGTAAAACAGACCAAACAGTATTTATGTTCTCTATTGTCCCTTTTGAACTTTGATGTTATAGTGATAATAGTGGTAATAGTTATGACATTATTTAGAAAAATCTCACTCCATCGTCAACAAGATTTTGCCGACCTATAAAATATATGTTCATGAAGATACTATTGAAAATACAAAATTAGAAGTTGAAGATATAGAACAACAAATAAGGGAATTAAGTAATACGCATGTATTATTTGACGAAGAACAGCTTGAAGTTAAAAACACTCTTATATTTTCTATGGTCGATGGAAAGGTAAAATTAATGCTCATTTTATTTATAATTTAATAAGTTTCTTTTTAACTTGCATGAATTAAATTATTTATTTTAAAAAATAATGTCTATTTTTAATAGTTGTAAAAATATATAGATATGAAACTTACAATTCCCAGAGTAAATTATTTCACTACTTTATACTTTTAACGTTAAGTTAATTATCTTAACATAAATGACGGATCGGGGGGTTTTACTTGACAATCGTATAATATCAATTCCAAACAGTAACTTTATTATACATATAGATTATATTATATACATATAGATCATATATATTAGGGTGGTCTTTAGTTATACTAGACAAAAAAAAAGTTAAATTATTTTCAATGTCTCACCCTCTCATATTGTTCAATTTGATGAGAAAGTAATTTGGGTAAAATTTTATCATAATAAATCACCCCCTTCACGTGCCTGTAAAGGGTTACAAATTGACAAAAAGGGTAGTTTTTTATTTTTTTTTAATTAACTTCAAACCTAATGACTGTAGTGTAAAAACGTATACCAACTTAATTATTGTTCATTAAATCTTGCATAAAAAATAATATAATAAAATTTTCCGTAAGTTCATTATTACCCGAAAAAAATTAATAAAACTGTAAAAAAAAATTTTTCTCCCAAAATAAATTTTTTTATGGTTATTTAATTATTTAGAACAAATTATTAGAGATACGATAAAATGTTTCATATGAAAGTTGTACGAAATTTAATTTCCTTAAAAAAATAATTTTAATTTAAGTGTATTGGCCATTATGATAAAACAAGTTGTCAAAAATCTCCAAATAAAATAGGAC